TATTCTAGAATATACTTTTTGATCCAAAATGATATTCTCTTGAATATATACAGCTTATTTTGTAATTGGTAAATTGATAAAATTTTCATGTATCAATATTTCACGAAAAAATATATGTCGATAAGCATTATCGATATTGGAATCAATATCGAATATCTCTATATGTATAGTATACGTATATTATCGGGCAAGGTGTCACCGTTCGCTCGCGCGCGCGCGTCCAGAGTTACAAGTCCCAATGGGGGCCCGATAAATGCACCGGGGACCTGTTAGGCAATAGATCGCCCCGGGCTGGGATTGGTGCAATCTTGCAACGGGTAACCACGTGTGTGCAGTAAAGCGAGAGACGAGGTGAGACCGTTAATGCCATCGGAGCGACTTAACCTGGCCCAATGGTATGTAATTTTCGCGTAATTAGTCGACCCCTTCACTCCCCCGGGCATCGATTATCCGAACGCTTGTCACAGTCCAGCTGTTCGTTAATTAAATTTTACAGTCGCTTCTTTTAAATTTTACATCGACTTTTGCTCTTGACCATAGTTGAAACGCTTCTTCTGATCAGTTTTCGGTTGACGTTCCTTTATTTTTTTTTTTGTATAGCGAAACCGCACACCTGACTGAGATAATTTATACGAGACGAGGTAATATGGGTGGTGCAACCGGCGGGGTGGATACGGAGTACCACGTAACTTCGTGTGTTACGCCCGGGACCGGTATGAACAGATTTTATTATGCATCCTTCATTTATTACTTCGGAACTCTCTCCTTTTTCGCGAATAACCGCCACGAAATCGGTCCCTCGAGTGTCTCTGTCTCGCGCCCGCATGCGATCGGTAATCTTTTCGTTTATTCAATCGAGATTTAAATATCGTTTGCCTTGAAACAGTAGGAGTTTACTTTCACGTTTTTCGTTGCACTCACCCGCGACCCAATTAACCGTGAACAGGAGAAACCTTCCCGCCAATTAGCCCAGGTTGGTCCTGTGGAAAGGGATGGAGGAAGAGTCCAACGATTTTGAAGTGTATTGCCGAAATTCACTGGTTTACTGTTGAAATTTGAATCTACGACGGTAGGTTTTAATAATCACCGTAGATTTAAAAAATCAAATTATATCCACCCGATGCGTTCTTTAAAATGTTACATAATTCATTGAAACATTTTGTTAACACAACCAATAGGTAACGAATTACTTTAAAATAGTAGTCTTTATTGAATCACCCCGTATACAAGGGCCCGTTCGATTTCCGGCGCAGAGGGCCATTCATCGTACAACCTGATACGTCCCCTCGTGGTCACCACCGTTGACCGTTTCACCGCAGAAGTCATGGAAGCGAAGAACGCGTGTACGGGGGGGCCCTTATTCCCACGAAAGGATGGAAAACCCCCTGGGATCGGGCTCGTTACGATCGGTGGTCACCGGTGCACGACGACCACGCTCTTTCTCCCCCCTGGATTACCATCTCCCGCCTCTACGGCTCGTGTATACACGCGCACGTAGCCGCTCCTAGGCGTTTCTTTTTTTTTTTTTCGTCTGACCGAGGGGATTATACGTGCCCGAGATCGTGGATCTGACGAGGGCGCTGAAAGGCACGGCCTCGACGTTTTATACGGCCGCAAGACGTCGTACGTGGCATGCGTCCGCTACGTGTCCGGCATAACACCGGGGGATCAAGGGGGGATCTAACGATCGCAAGATACGGGCCCTCGTAGATCTGCGCAAAACTACCCGAAGGGATACGCTCTGGCTACCTTAGTTTCGGCTCTCCCCTTGGTTCATTGAGTAACGATAGCCTTGCATCGCAAGGTGCCGTGGTCCGACATGATGCACGGACTCGGTTGGGATATTACGCAAGCGGACACATATGTCCCCGGTGTAGAAAGCGTCTACTGGTCGCGAGAAGGTAATGACCAGGCGAATAGGATGAATTTAATGTTGAGAAAATTGTATGTATGTATTGGGGTCTCTGAATGGCCACTGTGCATCTCTTGTAGCTTTAACGATTTAGCCACTGATAGATGGGTCAGAAGTGTTCTGTACATTTTACAAGGTGCGAAAACCATTTAACTTTGGAACCGTTCGGTAAGAATTGAAAAATATGAACCGAAGATGACTATTTTCGAAAGTGTTGTTTACGCATCTTATTGTGCTATATATGAAAAGGAGGTCGAGAATCTAGTGTGTGCATCTGGTACAAACCTTAACAATTTAGCCGTATGATAATCACATTTAATTGTTCGAGCAAATACCCCACCGTTCTCACGATGGTGACTAAACAATGATTATATGTATACTCTGTCTACCGTGCAGTTGTAGTACTCACTGGCCCTGTACACTGGCTGAAAAAGGCTTAATTATCTCATTGCCATTTCCACCAGATCGCCAGCCTCCGAAGCCAGTTCATTCAGAATCCAAGCAAGAAGAATCGCGCGTATTCCGTCTGCACTGACCTCCGCCAAAGATAACGCTATAAACGAACCGATAACTCGGATGTGAAGACCGGAAACGGCTCGAGAGATATTACGAAAAAGACATGCACCGCGTAACTGAATTACAATTACATCCACGAAAGCTCGTAAAACGATCAGAGCATTCCGTCCCGTTTATTGCCCCGTTATCTTCAGATACCCGTGGATTCGGATCGCTGGCTAACGTCGGAAGCAAAAATCCCAAAATCGTAAAAAAAATGCGTTTCCTGTGGAAACGCCATTTTAAAGAATTAACGCTCATAGATTATGATATAGTTTAAGAAGAAAAGTAACATCAAAACGTTTTATCCTATGGGTATTATTCAATGCGATACGTACTTTACTCTAAATTAGAAAAGTAAAAACAATTGTGTTTATTCTTTTTTCCAAGCAACTTTTTGTTTTGTAAAAAAGTTGTCGATATTTAACAAAAATTATCGTTACCTATAATCATTAGTTTCTAAAATATCCATAAATAAGTAGCGATATATCTATAGGCAAATATTGATATGGACATACAGTTATCGATAAATATCGCCCATCATTAGTTCGTGGATCTTTCGATCGAGGCCTGAAAAATACGCGCACACCTTGGACCTACGCGTAATTAAACTAAACCGCGGTTTTCTGCGGGCGCCCGTTCACTTTCTCCGGTCCGTTGCTGATCGTAAAAGCTCGGACGACCTATCGACGGCCAGTTTCAATTTTATGTTTCCTTGATGACGGGGAATAGGTGACCAACGAGTTTCCATCCGTCCTGGGAATATTGTGATTGGGGGGAAAATTAATCGAATTGCCAGACGGCGCCAGTCCCAGATAGTACTTATCGAGTACCGAGTGGACAATCCTTAGGTTTCTCCACGGTTTCTTCACGGCCTGTTATCGTTGCGCACGGACAAATACCGATTATCACGCGAAACGACGCGCGTATACTCGCCCAACAAAGCAGCAATGGCCAAGTGAATTGAGACCATTATTTTGCTTGCGTTGGACGCGCTCACAACAGTCTACCGTATATTTAGCACTTGTGAATGATTACAGGGAGATCGCAACGCGACGGAGATTAGAATGATTTCGCCTGAAACTATGGTAACATCCTACGGATATCTGACATGGACCGGAAATGATGGACTCCTTACGAAGAAACGTATCAGAAACATAGAACGATCTGTTCTCTACGTTTTCTTTCGAAAGTAAGAGTGACTCACGGTTAGGTATGAACGTAGGGATGAATCGATCGAAGTGAGTACGAGTAAATAATCGATACTTTCGTTTCGATACCGAGTATTTTTGGTAACGATACTTTCGGTTGTGATATGCTAATGAATGTGAAAGTGGTTGTCGTCTAGTTATATTACTTTGTTAATAAATGTTCGGTAATATAATATATAAATAAATGTCCACTCATAAAATATATCTTCGTTAAAATCAGAGACGGGCAAATTCATTATCCAGATAGAGTTTCAAATAACGAATGAAAGATAAAAAAGTACTTCACATCATACTTTATAACAGAATAATACTTCTTCCTGAATGAGTCGACATTTGGCAAACAATTATTTAATCTCATTATCTGTTTAAAGCTTAGAATGACGCTCGGGCGTATCTAAGAACTTAGATACTGCAGTGTTTCACTGTCTATTGTTCGAATAAAAGTCTGCTCAACTCTAGTTAAAATATATTATATGAATAATAAGAAAAATTCTAACCTGGTGAAGAAAATAGTGTTGGAAATACAAGTTTCTTAGCTAGAAGATTCAACATTCTCGGGAACGGGTCGAAGAGTTTAAATATTTGAGCAGGACTTATCTTGGTCCGTTTCCGATCGGTCTGTCATTCTTCCGAGGACAGGAAAGATAAGACGGTGTGCCACGGCGATTAAACAATGCTCTTCCAGGTGAGTAAAATATTATCGTTGCCAAAAACGGTAGTCAGACCGCTTGTCTTCGTTCCTTGGTTTCCAATCGTATCCGGCTTGACTTGGTCAGGGTATGCCCGTGTTCGGTCACGTCGTCGTGGGGCGTTTAATCGCGAAAAATTGTCAATGGGTTGCTTTCGGCGAGACCGTCAACACCAGTTTCTCCGTAACTCACCCTCTCGCTTTACGCAATAGCTAACCTATAGACACGTTGCAACCGATCCGTGGCATAATATCCAATGCATCTTCCATCCCTCGTGTTTTCTTTTTTTCATACGTCATTCAAATGAGATACAGGATATCAGCCATGTGCTCGTGGGACGAACTCATCCGGATCGCATAAAACTTCGACACAGAGAACGTCATTAGGCGTCGTTGAGCAACATTAAACATCGGATTGAGATACGAAGACTCTTTTGTCGCGGCGAGTGTCCGCATGAATGACTCGCGGAGGCCAGTAACCTTAGTTCGTCGCGGCGGAGAACTAGCTTAACGATCGTCGGTAACGTAGTTTCAGATGATTCAATTTGTTAGAATTCGCTTATGTAATGGAGATTTGCATTTGTAAACCGTTTAAATTAAAGGTGATCGATATAAGCATACAGTTAAGACTCACCATTGCTGTAGACTTCTGCGTTGACTAGAGTTTCCTCGTCATCGGTATCCGGTCCGAGGGACACTGGAGTATAAACGATTGAATCTCGCGCCCTCATTGTGTCGGTTCTTAAATGGACGAGCTCTTTTCATGCAGCATTCGAAAACCAACTGGAAACAATTTTTAATTATAATTAATAACATTGCCATCACGAAGGAATATTTTATAAAGTTGTCAATGCACTTTATATAAAAAAACCTTCTCCATGGAAACGAGGTTTATCAAGCTATTTTTATTCTTCCTCGATTCGAAGAAATTCAACATCGATTTAAAGTATACTTTTCGAAAGTATGCGAACGGATACGTGGAAGGAGAAATACGAAGACACTCTAAGAATTTGATGCGGTGCGAGACAAAATGGCGCGGCAGAATTCAAAGCTGGCGCGTCGGCCGCGCAACCGCGCCATGAGTCAGAAGGCCAAATATAGTAATTGCTGCGATTTCTGTGGATTTCTTGACGAAAGTACCATCCCGCCTTGCCACGAGCGTATCTCCGCGATCGCAAATCAAGCACGAAGGCGCGATTTAACGCGTTCGGAAATCGTTATTTCAGCCGGCCGGTTTCTAAGTTTTCTTTGGTCAGTATTCGAAATCACCAGATTACTGGCGGTTTATTGGTCGGACCGTTTCTCTCGTTATATCGATCGCGAATAATACTTATCCGATCGTGATATCGGTTCACGGTGATACTCGAATTAAGATTAAGACACGAACGCGATAAACCTAAAAGCCGTTTCCACAGAACGGATAAATAGAACGCCGCGATCTTATCGATACCGTTAGCCCGCATAACGTTCGCCAAGGAGGGAGGAAGAAAGGAAGGGGGAGGTAAGAGAAACGTTAAATTTATGTTTATGGCGATATTTTACCCCGAAGTATTTCGCAGTCGCGCTCAACCGGCCGGTATACGCGCGTCGAAACGAAACACCTCGGATTAAAACCGAACGTTTGTTCGTTCGAGCGTAACCGAAAGAGTCGACGGCGTCTTCGAGGCGACCGGAAGTGGAGTCGGGAGGATTACTTGAGAATGTCTTCAGGTAATAAAGGTCTAGTTTATTTGCTCGCGTGTGCCCCCCTGGTACCCATATGTCTTTCGTATGCTCCTCCGGCCGACGTGTGAGGCCTTGTACCCAAAATGGCGACCCCTCCCAAATTTCAAGTCATACAATCCAACTGCTCGTCTCGTTCTCCCTCTATCTAGAGAACGCTCGTCTCGAGGTCCTCGAGAAATCAACATCGAACAGACTACCTACCGTTTTCATTCATCTCGTTAAAACGGTACTGACGGGAAATCCTAGCGTAATTGGGACAGTGCTAAGGTAATTGATTTAAATTGATATACCGATTTCAAACATCTTGAATTATACCGAAACAAACTCAGGCTCTGAGCACATCGGTTCCGTACTAATAATCCACTCAGAAAATCATCAAGTATCGGATAGTTTCATGAGTCTGGCCGCATTACACTCTGTTCCCATTTATTACACTCATCTCCCTCCTGCGCATCTTTCACTTTAGATCTTGTGGGTTGGATTAAACGGCGGTGCGTGTCGCGAGGAGGATCTTGGAAATTTCTTTGTCGATAAATCCCATGGAAACGGGGGATTCGTTTTTCCCCTAGCAACCGGTTTCCCCGACAGCTCCACACCAGTCGTCGTCGTCTTCGCGTTCGGGACGCAGGGTTCTATTTCGGGTGAGACGACCGCCGCCGTCTCGACGCACCGGTAGACGTCATTCTTCCGAGATGCGATCACCGGAGGAACGGGCTCTCGCGTCTGAGAATCTACCAGCTGTCGGTACACGACCACGATCCGAAACAGGAAAATATTTTACCCGTCGAGCCGCGTTCGACCGTAATTTTGCACGCGCGCCTCTTACGAATCGGTCGAGCACAACTGTTGTATTTGATCTGAAATTATACTTTGTTCAAATCAGGCTACATTAACAGGAACATAGGTACACTCTCGTCTATAAGTCATGCGTGCCAGATAAGAACAAATTCGAGTTAAAAAATTACTTAAACTATGAGATAAACGAATTCTTTTTTAATTTTGTACATTTATATTCAGGGTTGTGAAGAATTTTAAATATCCGTTTGATTAGTGTGTATTAATTTTAATATAAATGCATAAAATCCACAGTCTACAATGACGTAAGTGATTTAGAGAATTATGAAATTAATGCAAATTTCTTGAACAAAACCTTTCATATCTCGGAACTTAACAAATAGAGGCGATAGTATAACCCCTTTGTCTCCTTTCGCCGAGTACGAAGTTAATTCGAGCCGTATAATTTCATCCGATATTCTCGTGACTTGCCCGACGGATATGCGTATGTGTACGCTGCGCGCGTAGTTGTGACCACGCCTTTAGGTTCGCAGGGGGTCTGGCTGCGTTATACATGGAACAAAGAGGAGGAAGAGGACTTGAAACATCTCTCGACGCTCGATTCCTGCGATCCGTTCCAGGAATCGATATTTTTAAACTTCGTTGCATTTCAGAGCAATAAGTATACCCGGTCCCGCGTCTGAACGGCGTCGGATTTACACTCGAAAAATTTCTTGGCCCGTTCCAAACGCCCAGGTAAACTCGAACGTCCCTCGAACTCTCTCGACAATTGCACGGGCGGAAGGACGACAGGAAAAAGAATTCTTCTATTCTTAGGAGACACTCTCTCCCCCACCGCTCCCGCGCGTTCTTTCCTCTCCTTCCGTTCCGCGACGAAGTAAGAGGAAATCATCGATTCTACTTTGCTTCTTTTTTCATCTCCACCCTCCCCCACTTTCTTTTCCCTTCTTCCGTCTGGATCCTCTTTTTTTCCCGCTGTTCCCGTTGCATTAATACCGGACGGCGCCTGCTGAGACGGAACCGTGTGGTCGGAACTAGGGACGGCAAAGAACGAAAAAAGAAACCTTCGATGTATCGATATAACCAGTTTGGATTCAAACTTCGCGCCTCTAAAATTTATGATACATGTTATACACAGTAGATACAAATAAGGAAATCCATTCAAACAAAAAACATCAACGGTTTCGATCTTATCAATCTCCAAAGATTGATGCATCGAGAACAAAAAATGTTTTCAAAATATTCCCACTCCGTTGCCATCTCGAACGCCCGCTTAGAAATAGGTATCGGTCGCGCGCGCGCTCGCGCGCACAGCACCGCGAAAAAGGGCATCGCGGAAATTCCACAGTGCCCTCTTCCCAGGACAGACGGATAAATATAGTACGTTTACGGGAGATTTGTCGCTAAAATTAAACGACGGAAGCGATCGAAAGAAGCGTGGCCCCGTGTCTCCGTGGGCCGGAAAAAGTGTAGTATACGGGAAGGCGTGGAATACCACGGCGGCGGCCAATTCCGCGCCGGGGGAACGAAATAATTCGTGCGATCGCACGCGTCACGTTTGTAATTGAAGCGTGTATAACCGGGGATGGTTAACGACAGGATATGTTGACATCCTGTCAACGGGGTTTCTCACGAGACACGGTTTAGTTTCGTCTGGAATGGAAATAACGCGATGCACTGTGACACGATCTTTAAAAAGAGTCCATAATTTATGTCAAATTAAGATTCAATTAAAATTTATTTTATTTGAATTAAATGTACCAAGTGATAGGAGCCCGTTTCCCTACGTTAATTTTTCCCCTAGTGGAAGCCGAGTTTGTTCGTGGGTGTACATAATGGCACGAAAATCTTTTAAGTGCTCAGGGCCTCTGAAGGTCTTAATCCGTCCCTGCCCTGTTGCACGCAAGACTCGATTTATGAAACTCATCCCTCCGGATGTATTGCAGGAAGAGCAAGCCACGCTCTGATTTACAAAGGTCCAATAAATTTTTGGTGATCTCCCAGTCGTCTTTAACCCACCTCGAGTTGAACGAACTCTCGCTGGCCCTCTGACGACACCCTCTAACTGCCACTTACCACAAGTGACACTCTGCCATTCGCGGCCACGTGCCCGCGATAAGGGTTCCGTTCACCACGTGGTTGCACGCGCGTGCCAGAAGGTGACAAGAAACGTACGTGGATCGCCGTCGACGTTACACTTCCTGGTTATATATAGCCCTTCCGCGTAAGATCGAATTTCTGTGACGTTGGTTTTCACGACCCCACGGATTCCGATCAGTCTCCTCGATCGACATCGAATTTATGTCCCGGTTTTCGGGGAACAAATATAGACACGTTCAGGTGTCTCCCCTACTTCCAGAAGACGCTCGATAGTTTTTCATCGAAGCTTCTTGCTTCTATTTTTTTTTCTTTCTCACTCTACGCACGAGCCACCCTCGCCAGACAGTTCCCCCTGTTCTCTTTAAGCTCCCCCATAGTCCCGGCGACTTTAACGCGGGGCACGCGCGCGGCTCTTCGGGATGACGGACACGTGCGCGCGGCTGTGTACGCAATTGTCAAAACTTTACTTACATGCCACGAGGGGAAGGGGAACGGAGAACACGGAACATCCGTCTGTTGCGTTTCTAGTCTAGCACGTGATCAATCCTGGCGGTTTAAACGAGGCGCGTGGTTTAGGGGAGTTGGACGCCTTTTTTTCTGGAGAGGAAACGTGCCGCTCTAATGGGCGAGATCTACCGTAGACGTGTTTGAAGCTTCCGGATAATTGAATTAAACGCGTTTTATAGATAGTGGATAGTGGATACTGTCAGACATTGCCTCTCGGATGAGGAACTAAAACTTTTGGTACGTTTACATGAAATTTTGGTATGTGTCAGGAATTTATTTATTTATTTATTTATTTGCATTGACCACAAAGACACTGTATCTGATTGTAAGTACTTCCAATGATGATCATTAGACTGCGTGTATGCATTTATAGCATACTTGACTATGTGAAATATGCTGAATGGTAAAGTTAACAATCAGGAACGGCCCTGGACACAACTATAAAACCTAAAATTTTCAATTCTTATCTATTCCGGTTAAAATAAAACCGCACCAAGTACGCCATGTCTGAAATCGTGTTGAGAAATAAAATCTGTCCAAAGAAAAGGATAAATTATATTCCCAAGAAAAAACCGTGGTTCGTTTTTATTTTAACCAGAATGTATAAGAATTGCTAATTTTAACAACATCCAATATCTAGCCAAAAGCTGCGAAGAACGACAAACCTGTCAACCATTGATCCCCATTCATCATCCAAAAGAGCCCCCTCCCCACGTGTCTTTCCTCTCCTAAGGCCAGAGAAGACCAACATCCAGGAAGTCTGTCCCAGATATCCAAGCCATCGATCTCACCGACACCTTTTCGTCGCGGTGTATTCTTATCGGGTCCCCATTCGTCATTTTTTTCTCTCGAGGACATCGGCTAATGAGCCGAGGCGAGCGTGCGCCGAAAAGGGAGCGAGAGGGTGCCTATATCGCGGGACTCGCGTCGCGTATCGTCTCCGGCTGCGCGCAAGAGGGTGTCTACTAGTAACTGTTGGCCCCGTCTGACAAAAATAGCGGCCCCTGAAGCCGTTGTGCGCTGCCACGGGACGCAACCGAGCATTACCATTCGACAGGGAAGGGAGGGGAAGAGCGAAGGAGGACGTGTCGGGATTTAGACGTGACGGTGCGCCCTTTGGCACGGAAAAAGGGACGCGTCGTTCCATGTTTCGACGAAGGGATCTCAGTCGCGACCGAGGAGGAAGCTCTATTTCCGGTCCGTAGGCCCTCGACCCCCTCTGGTCTCTTCTGATATCCACGGATAAAAAGATAAAGTGTTACGATTGGCTGGACACTCCCGTACACACGGATCCTTCGTTTCCGGGAGGAATCTTCCGTGGGACCGATATTTCCTCCGGGCGAACGCGACACACGCGATAAGGACGGGCTTCTCGAGTGTGACGCTAATAATAGAGGATAGATTACTCGATGGTGATTTGAAATTCAGCTGATCGAAAGCGGATTTCCTTGGAAATGATTGTTTCTAATGACGGCTGCTCTGGCAACTATAGTGATCCCAGTGTCCGGGGACTGTCACGGGGGAATGCGTGGTCCGACACAGAGGAGCCGCTGTAAATCGTCTATCGATATAGTAACTCGCAAGGGAACACCGCGAACGTTGACTCGCGGATTGGAATGAAACTTTGTGGGTTTATAGAGCGATTCAAGACTAGAATAATGGTATGTTTCATTCGAGCCCAATCGCCCTTTACGGGTGTGAAAGCTAACCTTAAAGTCAAATAGGCGCATCCACTTTTTCGTGCATAACTCTTAAAGTACAAGAGATAGAGAAAATTGGTTCAAATATACGTTTAATGGTACAATGGACCATTTTTAAAAATGATTTTTTTCTTGAAAACATAAGTACACTTTTTTCAAAATGTTGCCGCACATTTTTTCAAACTCTAAGTATACTGAAGTCTAGAAAATCGTGTACGCTGTAAATGCATAAAATCTGCAGTCTACCTTCGCGTTAACCCTTATGGTACCTTATGGTCCAAAAATACGTTTAAATATGCGATTTTTTAGCTATCAGTTAAAATTAATATATTTCTCTTAAAAATCAAGATATTTTTTTAAATATTATTCTTACCGAATAAACATATGTTCCACTATATAAATGTATTCTACAACAATAAAATGACATTACATGCGTTTAAATTCTATGAAAAAATGGAAAGCCGATATATCGGCTCTAAGGTATATTTTCGGAGAACCCACAAAGCCGATATATCGCCTCTAAGCTACTAAAAGGATCAAGTTCGAGAATTCAAAGTCTGGTCAAGGGGTTCGTCGTTCCATCGAAGGACAATTTTAAACGCCCCGAAGATTTCTCGCATCGATGGAACGCGGAGAACGCGGCATTCGGTCCTGGACCAGTAAGAAAACGAAAAAGTTCACTCTCCGATAGAATTTTTCCCCGTTTTTTTTTCCCCGTGCAAGAACAAGCAACCCGACGAAATGGAAAGCTTGCGAGCAATGCTCTCGAAAATCCGCCCCGGCGAAAAGAGAGAAACGGCCCGAGAACCGTCGGACACAAAAGCTTACCGGTGTGTTTCAGTCCTCGAAATAGCTGCGACGACGACTCGTCGGGAGTATCTCGCGTTCCAACGGTGCAACGACACTTTTCCTTCTTTCTCCTCTCTGTCCTCTCCGCGACGGTACACTCCGCGAAATAAAAAAAAATATATATATATATATACGAAAATACTTCGATAATCGAGCGTTTCTCCGGCTGGCGGAAGCCTCGACGACGGTCACGGAAAATTAATTAAATAAATAAATAAATTAAAGAAGATACACGACGGATCGAGCCGTGGATCATCCGAGGTGGTGGAATCCTCCCCCGACCCTCTCGCTCTCCCGTTCAGAGGAACACCGAACCAGTCGACGCGCTTTGAACGACTGCACCACGTCGCCGCTGCTCGTTCGTCCTCTCCGAGAGACACGCGAAGCTCTCTCCCCCGTTTATCCAGGAGCTTTTTTCCTTTATTTTACCGTCGACGCTGCCGGTTTCCCCACCAGGGCTTCGAGATGAGCTCCCTCTTCCTCCCCTACCGTTTTACAGCCGGGGCAGGGGTAGAAGCTCGAGGATGGGATTTCAATGTGTAGTTCTTCACGGATGTTCGCCCGAGAGTGGGGCACATCCATGAAATTTCTGATTCGTTCGTGGGTGTAATCTTGTTGCTAATTATACATATTTTGATCGTCTATTTTGTAGGAGTCTTTTTCTTTGGTTTCAACTTTAATCTTTTTGGTGGACCTGTTTACCCGTGTCTATTACTCGTCAGACATAGAGCTGGGGATGTAGGAATTTTTGGCACAGGGTGCATGTGTATTTTGCAGGATTCTACGTGGAGAACTGACAAGGGAACTTTTAGTACTCGGAAAATTGTGATAGTCTTCAAATTCAGCAGGTTTGTGGGGACCTCGATAGAAGTATCAATTTTTTCTGTTTGTTTGATATTCAGTTCTTCTGGGAGAAACAACCCCTTAAAGGTTAATGTATTTCCTGTTTTCTGGTATATCTTGAAAACTGTGGTAGATATCGAAAAACGGTTAGAATGAAAGTTACATGAGTTCTTATGCTTTATAAAAGTTTGCAATGAAAATGTTTAAAATTAATTTTTTTATCTATTTATTTATTTGAAAAACAAATTTTTAACAGTTTCATCGCGCTACTTTATAAAGAATCAAAGGCAATTGAAAATTTTTAATCTAACCACTGTTTGGTATCTACTATAGATTTCAAGATATACAGGAAAATAGGGAAACAGACATAATCATTCACTTGGTAACTACTACTAGACGCTTACTTTATCACTTTAGTGACAATATTTGTTCGCAAATCCCGAACGGACGTCCCACTGTTTCGTGTAGCGCTATAAATTCAACAAGAATAAATATTTTGAAATTAGAAAAAAGTTGACTACCGAAATAATTTCTCTTGTTTTTTGCACGCGAACGACTTATCAACCTGGATGGAGGTTGCAACTTTCGGAATGTGTCTGACCAAGACGGAAGTGTCCACTTGACCGCTCCAAGAACGAATTACGGTTATCACAACGCACAGAGGAAGAAAACTATATACAAGGTGTATTGTAAAAAAAGTACACAATATTTCATTATGGAATTTGTCGGTATGATATTGAAGATGTAAAAAAAAAAAAGAAATTGGCATGATACAGTGCCGTCTTCATCCGGCGTGTCGGCTGAGACGTTCAGTCAGCTCTAGGGAATACCATCGGCTATTTTTTCCGTAGTTCTTTGTCTTCGTCGTATCCGCCGGAACTAGTCCTCGACGTACGTTTTTCTTTTCTGTATCGTGTCACGTTTAGTCACGGCTTAATCTTCTCTTCCCTTTTCGAACGGAAATCGCGTGAAAGATCATTATGTGTGTTATAACATAAAAGCAAGAAATTGAGAATTCTTTCTTCTTTGTCCATCTATCGTAGTTTTCATTTGAAAAACAGAAACTCGACGGTGAACTCGACGAACAATTCCACACCGAGTATGAACATCATTCCTTTCGTTATTTAAATTTCAATCAATGGCAATTTATTCGATCCAATACAATTTCGACTCCAACGATGATAGTATCCTTTCACCGCACTGATTTTCGATAAAAGTTCCAAGATGTCGTCCCCCAACCACGCCTCGCACAACTTCGATTCCGCCATTTTTCTTTAGATTCTCGTAACATTGATGAAAAAATTAGTTTGCCTCCGAGGTTGGGGACCATTTAACCGATGGTATCGCCGGATGTCGAGGCATCTTTGATGCGAAACATCAGCAGAGGTGCATGTCGATGAAGTTTTGCTTGCTCTTGTAAACTGGACCCCACGAACCGTACTTATTCTTGTTCGGTTGCTCCTGTTGCTGCTGGTATTCCGACGACGCAAGTACACTTTTATTCTTCCTGTAGACCAAAAAATTTAATATACTGTAGACACAATTGGTCCCATCCTATTTCTTCTATAAAATCAAATTTAAGAGATATACAAAAGAAAAGAGACAGTTTTCTCTTAAATATATTAGCTACCTAACGTCTGGATGGGATCCCTTGATCGACGATCTGGTGATGTTCGTGTACACCATTTTTATTCCCCTTACTTTTTCTTGGATGATTTTCACCTGGCACTTTCGTTCCTCGACCTTCTGCTGCTGGTTCGAACCAATTAGACCCGTTACCAAGACTATATCTCTAAACTAACTTCAAACGCAATTAGACACTGCCAACGTAGACTATTTGCTCCTCGCGTATTGTCTCTAAAATTAACGATAATTCTGTAATTTTGTAACTTTACATTTTGTATTATTTTTGGTTCATCTGCATATGAGGATACTCACCTCTATGGGACGTGATGCAAATGGACCAAGACCAGTAATTCTAAACGATTTCCAGCGTTACCGCGTCGACTGCCCTTGCGAGTACGGAGGTTCTTAGCAAGTCTGTGTACCAGGAAAAATCGATAAATATACTTCCGATTTAATTCCGTGATCGGTAGAAATCGTGGATCGAAAGGTTAGATCCATTGGAATCGTTCGTGATTGCAAAAGGAAATAGAAAACTGTTCGAAAGGCTTCGACCTTCAGCTTTAATTGCTCTACTATCGTTATCGGAGATTGCAATATTGCGACGACCATCGTGGAAGATCATACTAAGTGACTTTCGGGGATGGATCATCCGTGGATTATTTTCTTAGAACAAGGACAAGGTGAAACCTGTTTCCGCGTTTATTGCGCTTACCTGACACTGGGCAAGAACGTCGGGGAGTTGCCTTGACAATCTAAAACTTTGCACCTCATCGACACATAGATCTGTACGATCACCACAAAACACTTGGTTTAAAGTCGAAATTGATCCCGATTCCCGTGATCGTAGTATCCTGATTAGACTAGCTTTTTCTCGATTAGAATGTAGCTGAATTCAAAGGGGGAACTGTTCGATGCAAACGTTGCTCGAGGTCTTCAGGAAGACTGCAGGTTCTACGGCGATCGCGTCGCTCTTACATAGGCTCCAGGTGTGCCCCTTCTTCAGCCGCGTTATCGAGTGGGGACCGATCCAGCAATTCGTTCGATCGACCAGTGGAATTTTTAATGAGGGATTCAGTGGTTCTGAAACGTGACACGATCGTGGCTACCTTCTCGGGCGAGAAGCTTTTGCCCTCAGGGTAATCCAGAGTGATCGACAAAGCGATGGCGGAAAATTCCGGAATGACGAAACGATTCTGCGAAAATCTTCACGATCGTCGATATTTATTCACTATTGGGGTAAATGTCCCAATTACTGACAGTATCCCTTATACTGCCACTTCATTTATTTTATTGTATGATGATATATGTAGTAATTGATAAATTGGTACAAAAATTTTCGTTATTAAATTTGGAGTCTGATTCACGTAAAAACAAAGATATACATGTACGTATTTGTACATAGCTGGTATTTAAAAATTAATGCTGAAAAATGAAAGTGCAATTTGAGCGACAAAAATGTCTATGTACGTAGGAAGTAGTGGCGAAATCATACTAAAGAAAGAGGAGTAATTGGGACATCTACCCTAGCGATGATCGTACTTGTAAATAGAATTCCCAATTGTCACCGAAGGACAGTGAATTTCAGAATAATTGGATATGCTCCGAAAATTCTCGACTTCCCCCCCCCCCCCAAGTGATTCCCTCGACGCGTCATTCCGTCACGTTTCTCAACGGGTTGGTCACACGTGAACCAGTTTATTTCCGCGAAGACTGACGCATTAACGATGCACATTGATTACTGGAAGGCGACTTGTTAATTTCTGGCGGGCTAATTTACTAGAAAAATTTTCCTCGATACATAGAATACGCAGTGTCGTAAACTAGTTACCGATTATCATCGATTTTACTATTCCTACCGAATCAGTGCACGCTGATAGCGAATGATAAACTCATCTTTTGAATCATGCCAAGAATATCGATGAAGACGAAGTAAACATCGAATACAACGCGATAGCCATAATTCTTCTGGTCTGTAGCAATCGGGAACACCAGAACTATTATCTTTCCTCCTAAAACAAACTGCGCGTTTGTTCTTGGCTGGATGTGGGAGGGGAGGGGAAAATTTCGACGGTCTCTCGTGGCTGCTGAACTAACTTTAGTGTGAGGAATGGGACACCTAATGGTCGTAAAGGGCCTCCTCTCGCCCTCGAACGTAACGTAAATCAACGGCGCATCAATCTCCTCAGGCGCCGCTCCGACGATCCCGGAATCCTTCAGCGATGATCTCGATCGTGCCAAAGTATTTTTCTATCGAAGATTCGCGAGCGCGCTGCGTAACATCGCGGCGCAAATGTGTTGCGTTTGCCGTGCCCAACGACATAAATTATACATTCAGGGAGAAATAAAAAATAAACCGTGTAGCTTGCAGCCAACGGCAAACTAGAATCTGATGCAATACCGTTTCCCGGTGTCATCAGGCGTGTTGGTTCGCGGGACATTCTAAATTGAAAAGGGCCAACCACGAAATGAGTTTCGCCGATGGAAAACAGATTTTAATTAAACTCGACCGTTGGTCGATTATTATCTGGAATCGAGAGGCAGGTAAATATGTGTGTACTTTGTATAAAGATTACATTCGTGTCTTTTTAAGGTAGATTTACGGGGTGAAAACTTTTTGTGAATACGCCCTTTTACCGATGGAGAGACACGAACGTGCAATAATGTAATAATGTTTAATATGAAGTAAATTCTGTATATTTAAAAAAAAGCTCTTATTTACAATTAAATAGAATCTCTAATTTATAATCTGTAGAATATAAATACATTTGATTCTATATATAGATTTCTCTGTTTATCTATAATGCTCTTCATATTGGATGGACATGTGTATCACATTTCTGCAAGTGTAGAAATACATTACAGTATACACATTTGCATATTCAGGTGGGAATATCTATCTAGCCTCCACCACGCTGATTTTCTTCCCGGCGTTTAGATTTATCAAACGATTCGAATTCTCCGCTAATTCAACGATGCTGACTCTACCGCGCTGCTTCACAAACTTTGCTACAGCTTCGAACTCTTCTGGAGAGATATAAATGAATTTCCCTCTGTCGTCGATTACTCCTGTTATGTTTCCGTTCACTTGTAACTCCTGAATCCTTTCGACCACGCTTGCCGCCTTCAGGCTGAACACTGTGGCTAAATCTTCCAGGACTATTACTTTATTATCTTTAATATACTGTACAAACGATTCCAATAGATTTTCTTCGTCTTCTTTATCATTTTCATCATAGCCTTCTTCCTCTATGCTGAATGCTTCTTTCATCTTCAGGTATTCTTCATATTCTCTCTTTTCTTTCTCCTCCATGGCTTTTCTTTCTGCCTCTTCCTGCTTCAATTCATCTTCACGTTCCTTCTCATATTGCTTATCCCTTTGCTCTTGGAGCAACTGTTCTTTTCTTTTGCGTTCCTCCCTGTCCCTTTCAGCTACTTCCCTCTGCATTTTCTTCTCAGCTTTAGCTGCCAATTTTGCTCGCTTTTTGGTCCCCATCTTTTGATCGGACAAGTCCGGCTTCTCATCAGCCTCATCATTGCCTTCATTTCCTGATACGTCCTCATCTTCATCCACTTGGTGTGTAACAGTTGCTTGCATACGACGTCTGGCATTCCTTTGACCTGCTGCTCTCCTTATTGGTGGTCTTCCTTGAGGAACCCTCTCTTGTATATTGGCCGATCCCTTCTTTGAAGCTGCAGTGCATCCAAAGCAATGAATGTTTTAAATTAAGATTTATCCTTGTTATTGTCAAAAAATTTCATTCTGTATGAATTGACACAATATCTTAACCTAACGCATATAACAGTTATCTAATTAATAAATGTTGGATGACAAGAATAACTAATATTTACAAATATTCCTGTGTGCAATATCAAAATTTCAATGATAATTCAAGGAAAACATTCAAAACATCTGTTTCAAAATAAACTGAAAGGTTAGGAATACATTCTATTATAATGAATAGAGCTCTTTCATTGGAAGATGTGAAATGGTTTGTAATTGATAGGCGAAGAACCTACCGGATCTTCGTCCTAAGAACACCGTACAGATTACAATCAAAATTAAAATTGAAACTGCCAGAAAAGCTAACAGGGTGACGTCCATTTTTTTATTTTCCTAAAGTTACTTCGGCTACACATTATCAGGACAGTGTATATCGACGTGGCCCAGTGGCGCCGCTTACGTGAATTTCACTGATTGTTTTCGTAGATGACGTGTGCTGTGTACGGTTCTCGTAAAATTTTGTTCGTAATTTAAGTTTTGCTGTGCTATCATAAGCACTGCACATAGGATAATCATGTTAAAGTACGGAAGTACGTTTCTAGTTCTTTTATGCATCTTTGAATATGGCACAGGACTTTATTTTCACATTGCTGAGACCGAGAGAAAGTGTTTCATCGAAGAGATTCCAGATGAAACGACAGTGTTAGGTGCGTAAGAAACATACATGTCAATAGAGACAGTATTCTTTTAACTTCTTCGATCAATCGTGGATTGCATGAAATCTTTTGATTTTATCATTCATTACAGTAAATTATAAGGTTGAAATATACGATCCTCGGACCGGCGGGTTCATGCCCAGTAGTCCTGGAATGGGAATGCACGTGGAAGTCCGTGATCCAGATGACAAAATGATTCTTTCGAGAGTATACAGTTCAGAGGGACGAATTTCGTTCACCTCTCACATACCCGGAGAACATATCATTTGCTTATATTCCAACAGCAGTGCTTGGTTCAGTGGTACTCAGCTGGTACGTCAGCACAATAAGTTGCATTCAGAAATGGTCTTTCCATGATAGTGACAAGTTTTAACAACTTGCTATTATCTCATCTTCATTTCCTAACTCCTTTGACATTGAATTCTTTTGCTTCTATTATAACAATCATATTTTCATGCGTTTATTATAATAATTTGATCACTTTAATATTCAGCGAGTACATTTGGACATTCAAGTGGGAGAACATGCTATTGATTATGCTAACATAGCACAGAAGGAAACGTTCAGTGAATTACAATTGAGAATACGTCAGCTTCTTGACCAAGTAGAACAGATTACCAAGGAACAAAATTATCAAAGGGTAACTGCTTGTTCTGTAGTATCTGACTGTTCTATGCAAGTGTGATTTATAATTTTGTGTTCGTTTACAGTACCGGGAAGAACGTTTTAGACAAACATCAGAGAGCACACACAAACGTGTATTCTGGTGGTCTCTTGCTCAGTCTGTGATTCTACTGATCATGGGTGCATGGCAAATGAGACATTTGAAAAATTTCTTTGAGGCAAAGAAATTAGTATAAGATGGGACTCTGTTATTTCTAGGATATTAGGTATTTCTAAAGTTTCCTTTGTTATCGTGTGAAACTTGTTTTAATTTATTAAGGGAGAAAATGAAGCACGGACAGGTCTGTTTTTAAAAAGAGGGTTTGGGCGTGTCCGCACATGTTCATTAATCATTGTACTCATATAAAACGATCGATCCTCAAGTTTAATAAAAAAAGTAATGTACGATGTGATTTTCATAGAAATAAAATTCAACCATAATTTTCAAGATTGTTGCTTATTCGTTTAAACAGAAATAAAAGATCACTGGCATATTGGCACGGACAAGGTATACATATACAGAGTGGTATATATAAACGCTTTGTAAGGCATTTTTGTGGCCTGACTTTCTGTGGCGCCAGTGTCCCATTACACTTTAGTGTCAATATCTGTCGTTACCGATCAAGCATGAATTCTAATGTACATAACGGGGTCCGAAGACCCCAACAAAATTGTGCCCCGAATAAATGGTGGTGAAATAATTTGAGTACACATGCGCATGTGCAACTTTCGAGTTCAGTTAGTTGGTACATAGTTGTTGCTCGTGCTCTTCGTCCTAGAAACAGTGAAGTGCAGTGGAGTAAGAAGGGGGAAGCGGTGCAAATATATAGTTTAAGGTTTTATTTACATTTTCCGCCGGAAAAATGTCACATGCCAACTTATTTCTTAAAGCTGGATATTTACGTGCACCTTTTGGCCTAGGCATTGGCCGCTATGTATGCCAGCTTCAAAGGGTAACATTAAAGTTTTGTAAGAACCATGGTGCGAGTATGGGACTTAGGTGAGACGTTTGTACATTTCTAACCTATTGATAATAAACGTGTTGTTCGTGGTCGGCTACATTAAGTGCAAGTAGTTCAATTAATTCCTCACTTATCTATGATTCAATGTAATAAAGTAGTTCTGTTATATTCTTTGATGTATGCTACTTCATTTTACGGGACTGCAACCAGTCAGGAACTTGTAATATCACGTGCATTCTTCAGTTGTTCTCTTTGAATACAACTACTTTGTAACTTGTAATCTTTTTTTAAATTATATACGCGCCATAAAGAAACATTCTGATTTTGTATAGGAAGTTCTTGGAAAATGATTTAATCGACTATGCAAAGGAGAATCCTGGAGTTGTAGTGTATGTTAAGCCAAGGAGACATAGATCTCCAGTTATAAAAGCAGAATATTGTATGTTCATATAATTTTCGGTATACTGTGTGTACAAGCACTAAATTAATACATACTGAATATACATTATAGTGAATGGAGAGACACAGTGGATGGGTGTTGCCAATTATAGCCGCGAAGATATTTTTCAGTGGATGCAATTATTAAAGACACAATATCATGATGGAACTTCTATTCGGTTAATGAAACTGTGGCGTACAGACTTTCCTTCTATTCAAGGGCCTTGGACGCCTTTCACTTTTAAGGAACCTTCTGTGAATCACACACAGTTACCAGATGTAAATATTTTATTTCTTGTTAATAGATCACACTACTCTCATATTTTTGTTCGTGTAAATTATACATTTTATCAATATTTAGAAACAGCTGAGTGAGTTTATACACCATCAGCCTACAGCAACAGAAGAAGTGATCAGATTATTTAAAGAACAACAAGAAAATGAGAAAATGGAAGGAGAAAAAAAGGCTGCAGAAAGTCTTGGTTAAATAATAATTTCAACTAATTTAGTTTAACTAGTTTATTATTCTATTCTATATAAACATGTAGTGCAGTGTATGTAAATAAATTTATAAAGTAGGTATATTGAACATCTTAATGAACTGGAGCATTATACTTTTTTAAGTAACATTTGTTTCCTTTATTATTATGTATGTATATTACAAAAGAATCTAATAAATACTTAATACTGAAATAGAAACTTACATACATATGTAGAATTAGTAAATTATTCACTGAATATACAAACGTGGTTGCTTTAAAATACAATTACAGTATCTTTATACATTCACTTATTCCATCTATTGATCTTTATAATTATTTACATATAGATTGTAGTACATGCGAAGTTAATGTACATACTAGAACATTAAATACCAAGTATAATTAGAGAGGAAGATTATGTAACAATTAATCGTAATTAATAGTTCATTTGTGCTCTATATTTCAGTGATGTAAGTATATCAATGACTAGCATATCGCCTTATATGCAATATCTTTAATACCTAATAGAAGCAGAATTATAATTGAAGAACCATATATGTAACTTTTGATAATGTTCAATGGTATTGCCATAATTAGGTGACAGATACATGGTACTTGTTTCACTATGCTCTTGTTTACCACATCCTACATATTCATTGCTATATAAAAATATATTTTAGCATTTTTTATATAAAAAATTGAACAGTGACATCGCATATAGCACCATAGTTTATAAATAAACTTTATGAACTAATTTTCTAACTATTCGCTTTGACTAACAATTTGACTTTATTTAACATTCTGTTTCTGTGATGTAGTTTCATTTGTATAATAACTTATAGAGTACTACGTTTTCCTCCGATAAAAAAATAGAGCAAATATGTAACTACCTATTCTTTTACTCAAGTATCTCAATTAAATAAAATTAAATTTCAGTTAAAAGAATTAATCAGAACACACTTCTGAAAATGGATAAAATATCAACAGTCCTTTGCGGGTAATGCATAAAAATTGTAATCGTTTTGCAACAATTTTGTAAGGTAAGAAGTGTTGCATTTTCTTTTTTTTTTTTAATTTTGATACTGTGAATTATAAAAATATAAAATATGGAAAATACGTTTTGAACTGGATTGTAATGAACGTGACGCTAAAGAATCTCCAAGGGATGGGTGCGACAGTACCTGACATATTCTAATCTCGTTCACTGAGAAATATGAATAAATAGTTTATTTTTTAGACTACAATAGAGACATTAATGTTTTTCCCTATCATTCTTACAAAAAAAGAAAAAAATGCAATTTCTCCTACATAATATCAAATGGATTTAATCCACGTATCAAATTAATGAGATAATGAGGTGATCTAAAAAATGTAAGGGTACGAGATGGGATGATTTCGATGCTACATACACTCACACACGCAAAATATCTCACATTGTGACACACCATTCTATAATAGACATTTCATTATGTATAAATAATAAATTTATAATGCCGTATTATAGAATGTCATTGCTAAAAACTTGACAAATATGGTACTTACAGCATGTTAACTATTTCATTGTATTATAGTGTTCATAAAAATTTGCTACTATCTTGCGGGTTATTTATCGAGAAAAGCAAGATAAGAAATCTATTCCGACATAATAATAAAAAAGCTAATTCCATTATAGCGACGTTAAAAATTCTATTTGATAAATTATAACATTTCTAAAGCAATTTATCGATTGTTCCACATATAAAAGATACTTCAATAAAATGCAACGTACCATATTTGTGAATGGAAACGGATTGCAATCATGCACACCAACAATCTTTCCTCGGGCAAACAGGTATCCACAGAAAATACAGAACAGCACATCGAGTGAAATGGTCTCGTTTAAGCAAAATATCACACGTTATATCGATCGTGAAGGTGCGACTAGAGATGACTCGATTCATTCGACTTTAAGTCGTTTACTAATTTCTTCTTGTTGCTTTTCTCTCCATTCTTTTTTTGGCTTCATTCTCTTAAGTTGACCGTCCCTATAGAACAATCTCATTGCATCAACTCCATACTAGTGCTGGTAATATTTTCTAAAATGCATGTTAACATACCATTGTAAGTCAACCAATCCTCCCTGTCTTGCTATCACCGACTTTACTCTATTTGCGAAATCGATAGCGCTCTCTCCTTCGTTTCTGTACATTGGAGGAAGATACCAAACGTCGCAAACTATGGCCCAACTCGACATAGTCATGTACAAGTACTGTATCATCGAATATCGACTACTATTCCAGAAAGCATCACCAAATCTTGGATCATACTGAAATGGAAAACAATGTTTAAACTACCCTGAATTATGAGTCAATAGGAGTACCGTAAACAGTATACTCATCGTGACACCTCATATAATAATTACCTTTATTGCAACAGGATAAATTACACCACCAACATCAAAGCTGCCTTTTTTAAACTGCATGACTGACGTGTTATTTATACATGTTCCTTCCGGGAAAATGAGAATTGGGGGGTTTGTAGGATCAGACACATGTTTTTTCAACCTACAGAATACACAAGGGATGAAAGTCTGAATTCAAAAATGCACTACCGACTCGGGTGAACATAATTCCTATTAAGTTACCTTTTCGCTACCGCTTCCCTGTCTTTAACTTCGGATCTTTCGAACCATATATGGGGAGAGGCGCGTGCTAACGCTCGTTGTAGAATCCCCAAAAACCCACCGTGCCTTTGACCTATCTAAATTAATATTTACGAATGAATGCTATAGGTTATCGTACCTTAAAGAATGTAAAGCTAACGCATTATAATCGACCATCTTAAAACTTGTTGCATGCAAATGATAATAAAGACAGCACAACGTATATATATATATTTTTTTTTCTCAAGTAGAACATGCAACATAAAAGAAAGCAATGGAAAATTAAATGAAGTGAAATTATTTATTCGTAACCGTTGACGAATCAAGGGGTACTGTTTAGATATATACTGGAAACGTACCAAAGAATAACAATTATCGCACATGAGTACCAGAACATCGATAGGAGATGTGTGATTAGCCACACATATGCCCCTGACAGGTCGATTCTCTGGGTTATGGTATGTAATTACTGACGACAGAGCACTCGACAAGACACCGAAGCACATTATGGAGACTTTGTAATTCAGCCATCGTTTGAAACTACCCTCTGGGATGTAGCCCACAACTGCTGTACATATTGTCAGCCACATCACCTGTAAACCATAAGCTTTGCACCTGAGAAACGATGATTCCCTCTGTATCGTTGCTGAGTAGTTTTACCTGCAAAGCAAAGTTACAGGATACTATTACCTGTAACATTTACTAATGCATTTCAACTTGGTCGGTTGGCTGTACAGTATTGTACGTTACGAGGAATTAGCATGAGTCGAGATGCAAGGGTACCGTTGATTAATTTTTTTTCCATCGTTAGTTAATTGTATATGTTAAACGTAATGATTGATTATTTTTGTTTGCGTGTAAATAAAGGGAAACGCACTACGTATTCCCAAGACAACGGACAAATACACGAGCAGGTCCAATTTCAATTCCCAGGACAGAACAATGCCGGATAAAAGACAAATTTTGACAACATGGACAACATACTGATATCCCTCAGAATGGTATATTACCAAAGAGAATGTTGTCTGTGTGGATAAGATGCACACATCGATTGTGGAAGTGTGATTCGACACACACACTCCTCCAGTTTTCGGTTTGTACTCCGGATTATGGATTGTAATTATAGCCGACAAAGATTGAGCTATTAGCCTGAACGCGATCAGGCTAGTCGTTCTGTATACCCATTTCTTTAGAAAGCCGTTTGATAGTAAGCCAATACAAAATGTCGCAACAATAAGGTACTGTACCTAGGGAGCTTCGATATTAGTTCATTTACTAATTCATGATTACTGTTCTGTTCTTATCTAGAACTTCGAAATTCAAATACATCCTTGCATATAATATATACATCTTATGCATTAAAATATGATATTGAAGTATCATTTACTAAGTTTTTTAAATTCATGTTAATAAGTCATTTACAAATAACCTGTAAACTTACCCCAATAAAGCAAATGAATATCCTCAATGGTAGAAGGAAGCAATATCGCATAAAAAATCCGAACATCCATATCACAGTTAACTTCCAAGAAATAAATTCGTAGTGTCTGTTGGTTCGTGTTAACAGATTCCAGTTCTGAAACAACGATGTTATTTGCGTTAAGAAAACTCGCCGAGAAATAGAGAACAACCGAATACCAATTCTTTCTATACATCTGTTACATTAATTATGATAAGCACCTTAAGTTCTTCCGCTTCGAAACGAGACGTTACTTCGTCTTCGATTATAGCTTCTACGCCGGCTTTGATGTACTCCAGACAGATCGTAGGCTCGAATTCTTTCTTCAGCGTTTCGAAAGAATCACGACAGATCAGATTCTGAAACACGATTGATCGTATGACAGCTTGAAAGGTACTCGTTGGCAAATGATTAACAGATAGGGTCAAGAGAATCACCTCATTTTTACCGGTTGCAGTCGTTTCCGATTTATCTGCCTTCAATTCCTCCAGATGATTCCTGTGATTCTGCATCTCCGGCTCCGGCACCAGGATCAGTTCTTTCGATCTGTCTATCACGCTGTTCCCGAGAACACCGTTTTGATGCTTCTGCTCGGTGGTACCCGCCGAATTCTGTGCATTTTGCTTCTCGACGAGCGGCTGGTGTTCCTCGTCCGCGTTGTCGTTATCCCGATTCCATGTACCGTTCCTCTTCTTGACATTCTCGATGTTTTGTCTGCCGTACTGAAAGAAAAGTGATTCACGCGCGGTGATGGAGGGAAATGTTCGGACTCTACTCGAGGTTTTCTGTTACGACGTTTTCACCGAGCAACGAGCAAACGGTACTCGAAACTTGAAGAGTAGTGATCAGTAAACAATGGGGTCATTCGATTTAAATTCATCGACGAGACGTTTGAACAGGAAACGAATTAGAACACGACGACGACAGATGTGCGATGAAAAATGGAATTTACGTGAAAACAAAATATTATTGTACGATGCGATGGAAAATGGAATTCGCGTGAAAAAAAAAATTATTGTACGTAGAAGATTCTTGTTTAAATTCCGTTTTAACGGATTCAAGTGACTTGTTTCTCTGTATAACCGGAAGTGGCTGTGACCTGAACAGATCGCCATTTGCAAATTTCACGCATGGGCCCGAGCGAATTTATATGTATGTTTTTCGTGAACGATAATATGTGCATTAACGAAATCCCGTTGGGTTACGAATAAATTCGGGAAGCATAATTTCAGGTTGAATCGTTTACACGGTTACAAGGCGATTATTCATATCGATCTTCTATTTTTATCGCGTGAAGTGCATACTAAGGACCCGAGGAAGATAGCTGCGATGTTTCCGAGGTGAATATACAGAATTAACCGGGTGTAGAAACACACATATGCAAATTAACTGTTTGTATAGTCTCGAAACAAAATTATCGTGGGTTCTATGTACATAATCATAGCGTATAATGAAGTTATACTAAGTAGACGGCGATTTACAGCATTGTGTGAAACTTCGAAAACGTGCAATGAAGTTCGTTGCACTACTTTTAGTCGGGTGAAACCTTTAGTGCGCAAGAGGCGTTTCAGTTTGATTTGCGATTTCATAAATCAACGTTTGAAATTGCGAATCCATATAAAAACCTGCAGTCTCGTAATAAGATAAACGAATTAATTAATCCTCACGTTTCTATGATCAGATCACCAGTGACCCGTCGACAAATACATTCACTCGTTCGTATTCCGAGGATTACGTTTCTACAGCATTTTAAAATTTTGTTTAACACAACAGAATATGCGTGTAAACAGAAATTTCCATAGATTATTCCATGTAACTATCAACATCAAGGAAAAATTCATTTCACCTATTCTAATCATCCATTTCATACATTTCCATACGCCATAAATGCGTACAATCATCGGCAAGAAGCATGAAACTTCTTGTTATGTTTTTACCATCTGTTTTTTTTTTTT